GTAGCTTGCCATCACCAGTGTGTGAATGTGTGCGTGAATGGGTGGATGACTGGTTGTGTAAAGCGCTTTGGGGTCCTTAGGGACTAGTAAAAGCGCTATACAAATACAGGCCATTTACCATATGACCATATATGAGGGTGGAATCTTAAGTTTTTAGCTAATAATAAAGAACCTCTAGTAAGAGTTATGCGTTAAATGTTATGGTGTAAAACATGGACTCAAATATCAGCTGTATTGTGCTGAGTAAGAGGCTAATAGAATATATATTTAAAGGTATTTATGTATATCTATGTGTGTTTGCATGTGTGTCGGTTTTGTGGGTTGTCATAATAAAATAAAATTTAGTGCCACGACTTCTCTGTGTGGCAATGCACAACTCAGACACAACCTCTATAGTTATTTGCACATAGTCAACAACCACTCCCTCCCTCCCTCCCTCCCTCCCTTTCCCACTGAACAGTTGCTCATCACTTGAGAGCTACATGGATAGCTTAATAGATATATCCTACAAGTTCTTCTTGACTCACATTCCTGGTTTTTTAATGTGTTTTTGGTAAGATGCATTAAATTTACACTCTGTGTTATCTCACACTAATCTGTAGCGAACCTCTGAAGTGTGTTTGCATTTATTTAGTATGTATTTCCCAGATTTCTTTTTTTCCTATTTTTTCTAACAGTTTAGCAATTGATCTTGTTCTGCCTCAAATAGAGTGGCCTAATATTGTGTAGTCAAATTCTTCAGAAGCAAATGGGATAATTTTAATGAGTGCCATTTTGAGTTGTTTTGCTTTTTAATCATTGTGTTGTTTTTGTTGCTATGTTACTTCATTTTAGGTTAATCAGCACCAGAACCACAATGAAAGTTTAACTGAACAGGAGTTTTTCAACAGCAACAGAGGTAAGCAGAGAAAACAATGAGATAAACAGTTCATGCAAATGCAGAATCTGACCAAGATCTGGAAATATTTTGTACTGTGTGTTTTCCGTTCTGTTGGGTGTCATACTGTTTTATTCAACTTCAAACAACAGATGTTGTTACTTACATGAACTAATAATGTGGGAGGTGATTTATGCTGGTAAATGCTATCTGTTCAAATGCCATGAATATAAGAGGACACTAACCAACTTTTTATGCTTATCCGATTTTGTGCATTCCAGTGCAATGAATGCTGTTAATATGCTGCAAACTATAAATATTTATAAGTAAAGAGCTATTGTTTCTGTTACTGTATTCTAAAGGCTTAGTCCTATTTTTCACATTCACACATGTATTTGTTCTCAGATTGGAAATCTGCCAAGATGTATTTCAAATGGCGAAGATCCAGAGTTAGCATTTTCCCGCTACTGAGTATCA